GGAAAACGTGTACTCCTGTTCACAGTGGACGAACGTAGTTCTTATGCTTATGGACGTTTTATGTAATCCTTGTGTGCGTACACAAAGTTGAAATAAGTTCAACTTTGTGCACGAATTATGTCAAAATTATGTTAAAATCTAGGAACTTTTGAATGCTGCTATTGAATTCCCTTTGACAGTTGGCACTTGGCACTTCACACCTTTGATTATATTATATAAATTATAATCAAAGCTTCACATTGCGAGTCTGCTGTTCTGTACTGCGAGTTGTCAAGTTCGAATATCGTATGAAATTGTAGGTTAGATATTTTGATTGACTCAGTTTGAGGTTAGCCGTTTCTATGTTTAGCCGGGAGTTATTCCGTTCTGCGTTTGCGCAGTTTAACAATTCTTACAGAGTTCACTCTGTCCACTGTGAACGTAGATGAGCATAAGCCAGACACAAACCAAAAACGTAAATTATGTTATGCGCTCGTTCTTATGTCTTATGTCCATTGTGAATGGGCAGTTATATGACGTGTGCATTCAAGTTATTGAGAAATAAATTGTTGAGTTTTAACCACGTCGATTTTTATCGAAAAACTGAAAAATGGAAAACCTGAAAAATCCGAAAACTGAAATATCCAAAAACTGAGAACATAAAAAGTCTAAAAATTGAGCAATAGAAAAATCCAAAAAGTGAAATCGAAAAATTAAAGAATAGAAGAACAGGAATATCGAAACCCTCGAAAAGTCAAGAAATGGGAAAATCAAAACATCGATTAATTGAAAAATCGAAAAATTGACAGTTTATAAATGTCAAATTTGAAAAATAGAAAAATCGAAAATTTGAAAAACGACAATTGAAAAATAGAAAATCTAAAGCCGGAAAGTCGAAAAATCGATTGATTAAGAAATAAAAACATTTGAAAAATTCGAAAACTTGAAAAACTGAAATATCGATGAACTGAAATGAAAAATCGAGAAATCGGAAAATCTAAAATTTTAAATACATATTTAAAAATTAAAGTATCAAAAAACTGAAAAATCTAAAATTTAAAAACCGAAAAATTGAAAAAACGACAATTGAAAAACAGAAAACCTAAAACCGGGAAGTCGAAAAATCGAAAGATTAAGAAATCGAAACATTTGAAAAATTGAAATATGGAAGAGCTGAAATGAAAAATCGAGAAATCGAAATATCTAAAATTTTAAATATTGAAAAAGTAAAAAGTCGACACATCGAAAAATCCAGAAGTCAAAAATGGAAAAGTCGAAGAATAGAAATATTGAAAAATCCCAAAACTGAAATATCCAAAAACCAAGAATCTAAAGAATCGAAAAATTGAGAAATCGAAAAATCAAAAAAGTGAAGTCGAAATATCGAAACATTCGAAACCTTAAAAAAATCGAAAAATTTAAAAGTCAAAAACCTGCAAAATCGTAAGGTCAAAAAATTGAATAATAAGTAAACTGAAAAATCCCAAAACTGAAATGTCCAAAAACTGAGAAATTAGAGAATTGAAGAATTGAGAGTTTATAAAAGTCAAATTTGAAAAATTAAAAAATCGAAAATTTGACAAAATGAGAATTAAAAAACAGAAAATCTAAAACCGGGAAGTCGAAAAATCAAAAGATTAAGAAATCGAAACATTTGAAAAATTCGAAAACTTGAAAAATTGAAATATCGAAGAACTGAAATGAAAAATCCAATTTTTAAAAATTAAAAAATCTAAAATTTAAAAATCGAAAAATTGAAAAGTCGAAAAAGTAAAAAAATCGACACATCGAAAACTCCAGAAGCCAAAAATCGAAAAGTCGAAGAATCAAAATATTGAAAAATCAAAAACTGAAAAATGAAAGAATACCTGAAAAATGGAAAACCTGAAAATCCGAAAACTGAAATATCCAAAAACTGAGAACGTAAAAAGTCGAGAAATTGAGCAACAGAAAAATCCAAAAAGTGAAGTCGAAAAATTGAAACCTTAAAAAAATAAAAAATAATAAATCAAAAACCTGAAAAATCGAAAAATTAAAGAATTGAAGAACAAGAATATCGAAACCCTCGAAAGTCAAGAAATGGGAAAATCAAAACTTCGATTAATTGAAAACGCGAAAAATTGAAAAAACGACAATTGAAAAACAGAAAATCTAAAACCGGGAAGTCGAAAAATCGATTGATTAAGAAATCAAAACATTGGAAAAATTCGAAAACTTGAGAAACTGAAATATCGAAGAACTGAAATGAAAAATCGAGAAATCGAAAAATGTAAATTTTTAAAAATTAAAAAATCTAAAATTTAAAAATCGAAAACAAAAAAATCGACACATCGAAAAATCTAGGAGTCAAAAATCGAAAATTCGAAGAATCGAAATATTGAAAAATCCCAAAAAACTGAAATATCGAAAAATTGAAAAATGAAAGAAAAACTAAAAATGGGAAACTAAATCGGGAAATCAAAACATTGAAAAATCGAAAAATTTAAAACGATAATTGAAAACAGAAAATCTAAAACCGGGAAGTCGAAAAATCGAAAGATTAAGCAATCAAAAAATTGAAAAGTCGAAAAAGTAAAAAAATCGACACATCGAAAACTCCAGAAGCCAAAAATCGAAAAGTCAAAGAATCAAAATATTGAAAAATCAAAAACTGAAAAATGAAAGAATATCTGAAAAATGGAAAACCTGAAAAATCCGAAAACTGAAATATCCACAAACTGAGAACCTAAAAAGTCGAAAAATTGAGCAATAGAAAAATCCAAAAAGTGAAGTCGAAAAATTGAAACCTTAAAAAAATTAAAAAATAAAAAATCAAAAACCTGAAAAATCGAAAAATTAAAGAATAGAAGAACAGGAATATCGAAACCCTTGAAAGTCAAGAAATGGGAAAATCAAAACATCGATTAATTGAAAAATCGAAAAATTGACAGTTTATAAATGTCAAATTTGAAAAATAGAAAAATTGAAAATTTGAAAAACAACAATTGAAAAATAGAAATATGGAGGAGCTCAAATGAAAAATCGAGAAATCGATAAATCAAAAATTTTAAATATTGAAAAATTAAAGTACCAAAAAAAATAGAGAAATCCAAAATTTAAAAATCGAAAAAGTAATAAGTCGATACATCAAAAAATCCAGAAGTCAAAAATGGAAACTTCGAATAGCAGAAATATTGAAAAATCCCAAAACTGATCTTCTAAAGAATCGAAAAATTGAGAAATGGAAAAATCAAAAAAGTGAAGTCGAAATATCGAAACCTTAAAAATGAAATGTCCAAAAACTGAGAAATTAAAAAATTGAAAAACTGAGAAATCGAAAAATCAAAAAAGTGAAGTTGAAAAATCGAAACCTGAAAAAATAGAAAAATTGAAAAACCAAGAAACCTGAAAAATCAATTAATTGAAAAATCGACAAATAGAGTTTATAAAAGTCAAAAATCGAAAAATCGAAATATTTAAAAATCGTAAAATTGAAGAGAAAAACTGAAATCCGAGAAATTGTAAAATCCAAAAATTCAAAAATAAATAGGAGTAAACTGAAAAGTCCTCAAACTAAAATTTCGAAAAACTGAGAATTCGAAAGTTGAAACAGCAGAAATTATGCTCGAAACCGGTTAGGATGTGTATGAGATCACGAAACTCTTAGAGTCGACATTGGCCTGAGTGCGCTCTGGTCTGTAGATCAAACAAGTTCTCAGACGACGAACTGTAATTCATGTGACCTGAATTAAAGTGAAGGAAACAGTAAGCAGCTTGTAATGTTCTGGTAAATCTAGTGTCAATTTGTCGAAAATAAAACGCGTCGTTAAAAATATTATGACACTTTTTCTAGTTAATTTTATTCCTAGTTAGAAACAAACACTGTTGCCAACATGAGTGGAGGTGTCCTCAACCGTCATTTAATTTAACACGTTGACTGCCGTGTGAGACCAATTTGGCTTCACGATCGTACTGGCAGTATATGTCGCGTGAGATCCATGTGGACTCACACCGCTGAACGACATATTTTGCTGTGTGAAGCAACACCGGACTCTGCAACTGCATTAAATTATATGGTACTAAAAAGTGCTCGGCACAGTGAACCAGATGCACTATTTGGCCTGTGTGTACGTGAGACCAAGGTGGATTCATGTGGCTAGATACATCTCCGCAACATGTGTGTCAAAAAAAAATGCATAATGTAATGTTTGATGTAAGTTTTACATCTTGAAATAGGAAATAATACCTGTCTACATCCGTGTAAATGCAAGTGGACACAGAAAACAGCGCATCTGTATAAGTCGGGACGGGAAAATCCGTGGTGACACATTGGTCTCACAAGGCAAAATTGTCTTTAATGGTTGCTAAGGTGCCGCGTGAGACCAATGTGTCACCACATCAAAAAAATTAGATTTAACTAAAAACAAGCAAAGATAAATTTCGCAATATAATGAAAATACGTTTGTTCATTGATTTTTTACATTTGAATTAAAAAAATTGATGTGGCGTGTGGGACCTGATTTAATTTTATACAAGGCGGCAGTCAACGTGTTAAACTATGACGCTTCTCTATGTTCTCTGCTTGCATATCCATCCGCTGCGACAATTTGGTACAAAACATTTAAATTATTGTTTCGTTTGATTTACATAACCACACATTTTTAAATCATCGACTTTTCAGTTGACAAGTAGATATTTCTAATAAAATAAATATTTGGCTCTTACCATAGGCGCATAGGCTAACACACACGGCTAACACCATAGGCTAACACATACTTAACACCTTAATTAACACAAAAGATGGGTAACTAGGGTAACAATTTAGGTAACTATGGCCGCGAGCGCCATGAAAATAAAACGGAACCTTGAGAACTAACATCTACTTCTCATACTCCGTGAAAATACTTAATTATAGGAACATTTGTTTTCACATACTCACTTTTGTTAATTTTGGGAATTATATTACCTTATGTATTACCCGCACAGACCTATTTAACGTAAAAAAAACACACACCGGAACCAGGACAGGTCAATAATACGCCAAGGTTGGCACACCTGTCGCTACCAAAAACATAACCTAGTTCAAATTTGAAATTTTTCGGTTACAATACTCTAAAGCACGATTAAAGAAAACATGAAAACCATAAATATAGAAATTATTTTACACAGCCACAGGTTTGTCCAATGTTATCTAATTATATTTTAAGTCAATATATATCTTGTAGCCGTATTTTGAAAAATACCCTCATTTCGGTGGCCCAACACTACCTGGGAAGTATTAATTTAAAAGGAAACACCGTCATAACACATTTTGATAATAATCTTCATCCAATTCTGCATTCTGAAGCCCGTGCCATCATTATCGAACACAACTCTGAACTAGTAATAACTTTAATATGTTAACTAACAAAAGAAATAATCAGTGTTGTTGTAGGACGGTTTCATTAATTTTAACCAAAGTTCCATAAAGTGGCACATTTATACTCTTGACGACACTGGTCCTGTAAATCAGACTGAAGAAGCAGAAGAAGGAGGACAAATGAATACTGCCACTCATTTAATTCTCCCGTCAGCCAGTATTTACAATCTGTGGGAAAATTTGTACTACGACAGTAACATCAAAGAGAATGTAAGAAAGCAAACTGATTTGATTAATTTTTTACTTCTTGGTTTTTCAGTTGTTGAAATATGCACAAACAATGATGGAATTTTCTGATAAGGGTGTAGACACTAACATTGTTAATTGTAACCGAGTTATACTTTTACACGGGCCCCCAGGAACCGGGAAAACCTCCTTATGCAAAGCTTTGGCTCATAAATTGGCCATTCGGATGCAAGATCGATATTCATCTGGAGTTCTTATTGAGATTAATAGCCATAGTTTGTTTTCAAAGTGGTTTTCAGAGGTTTGTGATAAAACGGCAGTCAAGTGTGATAATGTTGTACCCTTTTCAGAGTGGGAAATTAGTTACTACAATGTTTGCAAGAATAACTGAAATTGTTGAAAATCCAAACGTGTTGGTATGCGTTTTGATAGACGAAGTTGAATCTTTGGCGCATGCGCGGAATCAGTGCCTTTCTGGTGAGTCAAGGTTTCGAGTGTTAAACAAAATTAACATTATGTTATTGGTCGCTTTTAGGAAATGAGCCTTCTGATTCCATCAGAGTAGTTAATGCTGTACTGACTCAAATTGATCAAATTAAACGATTCTCAAACGTGTTAATCCTAACGACGTCAAATATAACAGAATCTATAGATTTAGCTTTTATTGATAGGGCTGACATTAAGCAATATCTTGGCCTTCCAACACCTGCTGCAATATACCATGTGTACTATTCTTGCCTGGATGAACTAATCAAGGTATAATTGTCAAAATAAATTGATCCTCTTTGATTTTCTGCTTCACTATAATTCATTTCTGGTTTAAGATTTATCTGAAATGGCTGCAAATGATTTTTTTTTAATTATAGTTCCAAAATATTGAAAATTGATTAATAACTTACTTCAAAAAAGACCATCACTGAGTTTTACTAATACAAAGTAGGCGTTGATTTTTGCCGCCTTGTCAACAACATGAATTATAATCAAACTGTCAAATTAATGTCATGTCAGTTTATGATGAGTTAAAGTAAGTGCTTCAGTAAAGATGAGCGGCACAACACAATTGGTTTAAATAAAAATTTAAGACGTTTTTATTTTACACAGACATGGTCGTAGTGAAGCACAATCATAACCTCGTCATACAACTGACAAAAATGATCTTTCAGGCTCAAATAATCAATGATAAAAACACGGTAGCACCCCCCCACAGCGTCCTACGAAGCACAAAAGACTGCGACGTCAACCACACCCAAAAATTGCTCGAACTTTGCGAAAAAAGTGACGGTTTGAGTGGGCGATCCCTCCGAAAAATCCCATTCATAGCCCACGCTTTGTTCCTCGCTGACCCTTTCAGTAGCTTGGGCCCGTTTCTCGACGCCATGTCTGAAGCCATCACCCGCGAAAAAACAGAACGCAAATACTTCGAAAACTCTATTAAATCACAACATGTTTAATTAAAACGTTCCTCGCCGCAATCATATTGCCGCTATTTTTATAAATTAAATGTAAATTGTACGCTGCCTCGTATTTTAACCCGAACATCTCCGCAGGCTCCACTTCCTCCAGATCCACCACTTTTAAATAGTAATGCTCGGCTAAATACATGACGCCTAGTTGGTGATACATCCGTCCTAAATTGTAGTAGACTTCCTGCTGCGCATCCCTACTCCTGTTTTTCGCGTAGTACAAGAACAAGTACGACGCGGTTTCTGCTAGTTTTTTCTTGTCTTCTACGACGCGTCGTCGGCTGCAGCCTTGAAGGAGGATTAGACCGAGGATGAAGCTGAAGTAGGGGAGTTTGTGCTTGCGGAACTCCCTCATGTAGAACTTCATGGCTAGGTTGGAGTTGCTTGCGGATAAGCTGTAGTTGGCTTCGAGTGCTTGGAGGCAGTGGATGTTGGGGACTCGCAGCTGGAGTCTGGATATGAAGCGGTAGTGGCGGATGTCGTCAGCGGTTTTGAGAACGAGGTTGAATAAGTTCCAAGCTAGGTTGTTGAATGTGTCGCTTATGACTACGCTGCGCACCAGGGTGTAACCGTGGAAAGTGTCGTCGTTGTAGATGGTCGAGAACAGGACGAAAAGTTGGATGAGTTCTGGAAATTTTGAAGACTCGTTTTAGTACTTATAATTAGTAAATATGGAACTATTTTTGTACACTATGTTTTATTGGAAAATACAATGTTATTGAGAGAATTTTAATATTTAGGTTCATATTTTTTTAAATGTTGCCCGGCGCATCCACCAAAATTACAGCACAACTAGGTTGAGGATTTTCTTCAACTCGTCTAGTAATTTATTTTTAAAATAATGATGTTGGCATTACACTAAATCACTAGATTTCCTTGACTTGCTGCGGTCTAAAAAGGTCGTGAATGTATTTGATTGGAACCCAAAAATAATTTTTATATTATACAGTGAGTATGTAGGCAGTAGTTTTTAAATAAAAATGTGAACTTTTCTTGTCTTTATGTTGGCATAACGGAAGTACTTTTGTGTCAGATAAGTTAATGTGACATGCGATAAATTTAGGTTACGTTTTGGACACATTTTTCAAATTAAAAATGTCAACAATCTGTCAATCTTCACAGCTGACAACGAAATTATAGCAAACATCGTGATATCAACTTCAACTAAAAATCCAGGATTGCCAACAGACTCAGTAATTTCTCCTCATCATCAATAAATTGAAATGTACAGGAATAAGTAAATTAAAATTACAATCCGATTACTTAAATCTAGTCGTTTTTTAGTGAGAAATTTTCAAATTTGCTTGTCAAATTTTAAATTTTAATTCATTGCTATAACTTTTGGGAAAAATTTAAGACAAAAACGCGACATCCGGTATTATAATAAAACACTTTGTATAAGTAATTTAAAAAAATATGAATGCATTAGTAAATCACAAGTACAGTATAACCTCTATAATCCGAACCCTCGATTATCCGAACATCCAGTAATCCGAACACAGGCTAGTTGAATTTCTTTAATCCGAACAAAAACTCTGCAATCTGAACTGAACTTGAAAACGTGTTGTATTGAATTTTTTGAAATTTTTAAAAATTGTGATATTTAAATGCACTGAATTAAGTATCTAATTCTGGAAAAAAGGTTAAAGTTATCGAAGAAGTGAGGCCGGAAGTGACTTCTGCCCCCGAAATCTATAAGAAAAAGTATTTAGTTAAATTTCGAAAATCGTCAAAAATGGATCGAAATTTGCTAGTACTTGCCAAATAACCTACCCTCTAAAAAAATAAAAGACGGGTGGCCCGGCTAGCCCCACCCACCCACCCTTTATTTTCTTTGAAGAGTAGGTCATCTGCCAAAATCAATCTTATTTTAACAAGTACTAGCCCCGCCCACCCACCCTTGTTTTCTTAGAGGATGTCATTTGCAAAAATCAGCCTGATATTTGCGAAGATAAGACTGATTTTGGCAGATGACCTATTCTTTATTTTCTTAGAATAGTAGGTCATTGGCCAAAATGAGTCTTATTTTGGCAACTACCAGCACGACCCACCCGCCTTTTATTTTCTTAAAGGGTAGGTCATTTGGCAAGTGGTAGGTCATTTGGCAAGTGCTAGCCCCATCCAACCGCCCTTTGTTTTCTCAAGAGAGTAGATCATTTGCCAAAATCAATCTTATCCTAGTGAGTACTACTAGATTTTTCAGTTTTTGGATTTTTCTACTTTCGAATTTTTCAATTCTTCCCTTTTTAAATTTTAAATTTTTTGATCTGTCTTTCGATTTTTGATTTTTCGGGGCAACTGAAAAAAACTTTCGATTTTTTAATTTTGGTAGTTTTCCGATTTTTCAATTATTTGATTTTTAAAAATATCGAGAAAATAGATGCTTATTTTTTTAAATTTTCGATTTTTGATTTTTTGTCACGGAGTTTTTGGAAAGGAGTAAAAAATAATTTTGATCAGCGATTTGCTATGTTTAGTGTAACGTTAAAACATCTGAAAATTTTGTTTCTAATTTTCAATTTTTGGATTTTTCGATTTTTCAAAATTTCGGTTCGAATAAATTTGTTCTTTTGGTTAAAAAATCGAAAAATGACAAATCATTTTTTGATATTTCAGTTTTTGATTTTCCGATTATCCAGTTGTACAATTTTCCGATTTTTCAATTTGTCATTTCTTGATTTTCAATTTTTTTAATTTTTACCACGTGCTAACCCCACCCATCCAGGCTTTATTTTCTTAGAAGAATAAGTCGTCTGCCAAAATCAGTCTCATCTTGACAAGTACTAGCCCCGCCCGCCCACCCATCCTTTTTTATTTTCTTAGAACAGTAGTTATTTTCTTAAAGAATATGTCATTTGCAAAAGTCAGTCTCATACTTGTCAAGATAAGACTGATTTTGGCAGATGACTTAGTCTTGTAAGAAAATAAAGGGTGGGTGGGCGGGGCTACTACCTTTTCTCAGAAGAGGGTCATTTGTCAAAATAAGTCTTATTTTGGCAAATACTAGCCTGGCCTACCCGCCTTTCATTTTCTTAGAGGGTATGTTATTTGGCAAATACTACCATAATGTAAAATTTCATTTTTGAAAAAGTTGTCTAAAAATTCTGAAAAAAATTCAGAGATGTATACCGACATGCTGATTCCAAAAATATTGCCCGTTTGTGGTAACGGAACAATATTTTCGGAAAATTCGGTGTGAAATTAAATTTTTTTTAATTTTTAAAAAATGCGGTATTTCAATAGACGATTCTGGAAAAACGGTTTAAGTTATCGAAGAAATGGAGCCAGAAGTGACTTCTGCGGCCCACAATCTACATGGACGTATTTAGTTAAATTTTGAAAATCGTCCAGAATGGGTCGAAATTTGCATAAGGGAGGTAATACGAATGAATACATCATGGGAAATTTCATTTTTGAAAAAGTCATCTAAAATTCTGATTAAATTCAGGGGTATAGATCCCGGGGGTTAACAATGGATTAATAGATACATATAGAAATTAATAGATAGATAATTAATATGTACTTTATTTCTGTTTAATAAAATTAAAGTTTATTTCTTTAAATTTGTTTTCAGCAGTGTATCAAGTTGTTATTCAATTCCCTTTCAGCTTTTTGGGAAATTCGCTGACCCGAACAAATCGCTATTCCGAACACACCTTTCCCCAATTAATTCGGATTATCGAGGTCATACTGTACAAATTTATAATATTTTGAATATTTTAGTAGGGATTTTTTCGACAAAATTTTGACATGACGTCATCAACTTTTTAGGAGGGGATACAAAGATATATTTTGATTAACGATTTGCCTTGCTTACGCTAACCTTAAAACATTTGCATGATTTCAAAGCTATCCGTTGTGCAGTTTCAAAGTTAAATTGCAAAATATTATAAAATTTTGATTTTTTTTGACAAAAGCTGGAGGTTCAAGGTAAAACCTTAGCACAAGTGCAGGGACATCTTACTATATAAAATTTAAATAAGATTTATTATTTTGGCGATTACGTCATTCCGTTGTTAGGCAGACGGACACGGGAGCCTATTTTTTCGTACTCCAAGGGTCATGAAACGTAGAGAAAACATCAAAGTTGCCAGATGGACTCAATTACAACACTTACGCTCGGGAGGTAAAAAAAAGGAAATGTCAAAATAAAATGTGTCATTTTTAGTAATTTTTCCATAGTTTGAAAACGCATTTTAGGTTAGAAAATTGAACGGTTGTCTTTGAAATGAACACATAGGTTAATTTATCTGCTTCGCTCAAATGAGGTTTAGCAAATAAAAAGTCAGTTTACATTATGAAAAAAAGTAATTCCCATTTTATTGAACACACTTGTACTTCTAATATTATTTTGGAATACGAAAAAATTAAGTAAAAGATAACATTTACTAATGAAAGAAAGAATAAGAGATGTTGAGAAAGCTAGATACCAAAATATAAAAAACGACCCACTCAAATTAGCTGTACAAAATGGAAAAAAAAGATGTACACATTTGAAAAAAAAAACGAATCAGACAAACAGTGTCAGAAATGAATCTTCCAGAAAAAAAAAACAACACAAAATCTGTAGAACTTATGCTAAAGACAAACTTATAAAAAAGGTTTTAAGACTTTTTTAAGGGAAAATCACCATATAGTTGGTTCCCCATGAGCCGTTGCAACAACAAATTTGCCAGCTTTTTTGTATCAAACTTTAACAGTATGACAAAAGTACTCAAAATTATTATTAAACATGCATTTATTTAATTGAGTGACCAGTTTATACCGGCATTAAGGCTAGATCTAAAATTAGTTTTTATCTTTAAACGCGAAAAATAAATGGACACAAATTCTGACAAATAATTCTCATTTCTGTGGAACAACCTATTTTTTTTTAGATGTTTCTATTCCACCCACTACTCTTCCTGAATAGTCAAAATCAACAGTTGCAGGCTAGAAAATCATGGAATTTACAAAATCTGATGTAGTCTGTGCTTTATTGTCACTTTGACGTTTGAAGTTTAAAAGATTATGACAGTGGAATGACATTGACGTCCAAGATTTTCTGTCCGCGACTGTATGTATTTCAAAAAAGCGAAAAATGTAGTTTTCAATTTCCGTCTGTCTGTCTGGTGTCTGTACACGGCCAACTGTATTAATACATATGGCCATCCCAATTCGTATAAAAAGTTGATTCTTTGACGTTTCCAAAATCGTTAATCAGGCAACGACATCTATTGAGTACAGTTATGAACTTGGTTGGCAAAAAATTGTCAAAATGACGTTTTAAAATATCACGTTTTTCTGAAAGTGTAGATAATGGCACAAGAACATTAATGATATTACTCCTACTATTTAGTGTTGAATTAAGATAGATACATTTTTTCAAAACGAAAATTATTTAACAAAAAGGAAGGTACATATTCATAATTTTAAAACTTTTCTGCTGGTAGATTTGTTACAGATCGTTATGTTCTTCAACCAGTCTGTTTGTTCCAAACAAATATTATCAATAACTGGTTTCACTGTTGCTCGAATAATTATATCACAAACTCTTGATTTATGTTCCAAGCAACAAAATTTTCTTTGTCTTGTTTTATATCATGATCCAAAACCGAGAATTTTGCAGTACTGACAAAGTCTATATTGGAAACATTAGATGATTTGGAACATTTAACAATTCCGCAGCGGAGGATCTGACGCATTGCATATTCTGCAGCTCTGGCATCCGTTGCATCATTGGAGCCTCCTTTTAATCTGCAATTCATATATTTTTTTCAAAAATTTAGATGTAATAGTACCTTGTAGTGACAGCATATCATGATTCAAGAACTGGTTTCGTACATTTTTTACAACATGTCAGAAATCAAAACTTAGGAAAAAAGACAAATATTTCAAGATAGGGTGGTCGATACAATTTTTTGGAGGCCCGGTGGTATTAGAAAGTTTTTTAAAAAGCACAACATTTAGATTCAAGTTATCTGTAACGAGTCGCAAAACTATGAATTGCAAAAAGGGCTACCTGTAAAACCATCAGTTCTGCTAGCACCGGTTTTCGTGGTTTCACTCAAGAGACTGTACATGCTTTAAAATTTATTGCCAAAAGTACATATTTGTGTGTTAAGTTTTTGTTAGAACAAGCAGGCTTTTACTATGTTCTTACGCGTTCCTTTAGCTCCGATGCGGTGGAAGCAACGTTCTCACACGTGAGATTAAAAGGAGGCTACAATGATCCAACGGATGCCAGAGCTGCAGAATATGGAATGCGGAATTGTTAAATGTTCCAAATGTTCCAAATCATCTAATGTTTCCAATATGAACTTTGTCAGTACTGCAAAATTCTCGGTTTTGGACCATGATACAAAACTAGACAAAGAAAATTTTGATGTACCTTTGGAATTAACAACAAAGATTCAAAACCTGAGTAAATTAATTGAACCCTGTGCAAACATTTCATCGGCATCTGTGGCCTTTTTGGCTGGCTTCACTTTAAAGAAATTAGACGACAAATTTCATTGCGATCGCTGCCTTGCACCGCTGTTGTTCAAAGAGGTTCCTGGTCCGCTATTAAGACTCATCCTGTTACAGGATCGAGGTGGATTAACCTCTGCCAATCCATATTCCGTAGGCATTGTGCAGGAAGTGGCTGACGTAACTCAAAAAAATTTTGCCGTTTTTAAAATCTAAAAAGACATGTCAACAAATATGTAATCTGCTCCATCCTTCTTTGGACCAAAATCCATTATTTTGTTGCTTGGAACATAAATCAAGAGTATATGATATAATTATTCGAGCAACAGTGAAACCAGATATTGATAATATTTGTTTGGAACCAAAAGACTGGTCAAAGAAAATAACGATCTGTAACAAACCTAAATACCAGCAGAAAAGTTTTAAGGTTATGAATATCTACCTTCCTTTTTGTTAAATAATTTTCATTTTGTAAAAATATATCCATCTTATTTCAAAACTAAATAGTAGGAGTAATATCATTAATGTTCTTGTGCCATTATCTACACTTTCAAAAAAACGTGATATTTTAAAACGTCATTTTGACAATTATTTGCCAACCAAGTTCATAACTGCACTCAACAGATGTAGCTGCCTGATTAACGATTTTGGAAACGTCAAAGAATCAACTTTTTATACGAATTGGGATGGCCATATATATTAATACAGTTGGCCGTGGTCTGTATCCATTTTTATTAGACACGTAATCTCCGAAACTGCTGGACCGATTGCTGTCAAATTTTATATGTACAAAGAAATATTATATAGAGGGTTAAATGCTAACCAAAATTTTCCTAATCATCCCCACCAACAATTTGATGACGTAATTTCAATAAATTTTACTTTAAAACGATTTTAATGTTATACAATTACGCTTACAGTTTGCCTTTTTTTTCTTAATACACGTAGTCGTCTTTTCAGAACAAGAAACTTAAAACATGTTTAAAATGGTAAATTTGAATAGAGAAATATCGATTTTACAATTACGCTCCGCCCCCCGGTCTGATACCGAATGAAAAATTCATCACGAATGAGATCGAGACGGATGGGTAGGGCTTCTCTTTTGATTTTTTTTTTTTAATTAATAAAATACTTTTAGTTTTCTGCATAGTTATAACACGATTACTTATCACGGTTGTAGAATAGATAGGTTGATACACTAGCATACATTTGCATATCCCTGGTCAGCGACGCCAATTGTCGATCGCGTCGCCTGGTTTTTGACGTTTTAGGGACACAGAACTCTATAGGCATCTGTCTATAACCGATGTAATTAATAAAAGAAATCGTACTTATCGACTCCGATCAAATGTCATTTACAAATTTTGTATTGTTCATAAAGCAATGTAAACGAAAATCCCCAAAATAACTAGAATGATTTCCGCTCGACAAGGTAGAGGCGCTAGCTGTATGTGTCCTTTCCATGGATATAGGGATCGAAAAGAAGCGTCGCCATCCCAAGCCATTAGTGTACAAACCTATCTATTCTACAACCGTGTTACTTATGAACATATTTCACATGTTAATTTCTCGGAGAAAAATAAATATTTTACAATTAAGCTCCGCCTCTCGGCTTACGACGAATAAAAAAAATCATCACAATTGAGATAGGGCGGGTGGGCGGGGCTTATATTTTGCCTTTGTTTCTTGATATACTTAGCCATGTTTTCACAACAAAAAACTTAGAACATGTTTAAGTTTCATGTTGTGAAAAGAAGTATACACATGTTAAAACAAAAAGACAAAATGTAAGCCCGCCCACCCGCCCCATCTCAATTGTGATGACTTTTTTATTCGCCGTGAACCAAGGGGGCGGAGCTCAACTACAAAATACTTACTCCTTTACAAAAAATTAAAAACATGTTTTTGAGTATCGTGTTGTTCAAAGAATACTATGTACATTAAGAAAAAAAGGCAACATATAAACCCCGCCCACCCACCCCATCTCAATTGTGATGATTTTTTTATTTTTGGAAACTTAAATTAAAACACGTTTAAAATGGTAAATTTTTGTAAGGAAATATGGACTTTGCAACTAGGCTCCGCCCCTAGGTTTGCCAACGAATGAAAACTTCATCACTACATATTTAGATCAGGGCAGGTATGGGTAGGGCTTAATCTTTAGCTTTAATTTTTTCTTAGTATACATAGTATTCTCTGAACAACACGATACTAAAAATATGTTTTTAATTTCTCGTAGTGAAATAGGGATTTTGCAGTTAAGCTCCGCCTTCTTGGCTCACGACGAATAAAAAAATCATCACAATTGAGATAGCGCGGGTGGGCGGGGCTCCATCAACAGCAACTTGGCACTGGAGTTTATAAATAACAATTTTCAGCAAGAACTTCAACGTCAACGGCAAGTTTATAAATCCCACTTTATTTGTTGCCTAATCAACATATAAACTGCCAAGAGTAAAAAAGACTCATATGACATTGCAAACAAAAATTAGAAAAAAAGTTTATTCTACATTTTTAGACCATTTTTTCCACATACGAATTATTTTGAGTTTTGTTTCTTAATAATAATAATAGTAATAATAATAATATATTATCCAACAGATTCAAGTTCCCTTTACAGGACAATAGAAATAAAATGTCAAAATCTTGAAATTATTTTCTCAACGTCTTCTTGACATACAATCTTCAAAGTAATAGCAAAGATACAGAGCCGATTACAAAATATCGCACAAGTTGACTTTCGAAAATGTCACTGAATTTTAATAAGAATTTGTCGTGTCCATAAGCAATCTAACATTCGACTTGAATTATTGGTTGCCTACCTGCCAGGTAACATATCAAAAAAATTTAAAAAAGTTAGGTTATGATTGATTACTGTGACAGTATAGTTATTGTATACTTATAATCTGCATATCCGCTTCCAAAAATCAAATCCATTACTCGTAAAATAGTAAAACTCTAAAAAAAAACTTACTCATATATTCTATAAATCTCTTCGAGGTCAATCCCATGAAAGCAAACTTCTGCAGCTGCGCATACTCCCTTATCTCCAACGCAAACTTCAAAATCCCTTTATACACCTCAAACTCAACCTGCACACTCGGCTCTCTTATGCTTTCAAAATTCGACTCAATCGGGTTCAGATCCTCCCTGAACTTCCGCATTTCTCGAATTTTCTTCAACTTCTCGTTGATCGAAAACGACGAAGTGAGAAGAATTTTCGCTTCCTCTGGATACTTGAGAACCACGCAGTGCCTCGAAAGCAACATCTCTGCGCATTTCCAATACTCATCCAGGTCGTTGATCTGCCTCAACAGCTTCATCCTCTCAATCAAAACAGCCACGTCGAGCTTGTTAGTTGATAAATCTTGCGATAACACTTCTAGAGCCTCAGACTTCTTGTTAAGCTTTAGAAGCGTCATCGCTAGGGGGTAGAGAACTTCGACGTGCTGAGGCGCCATTGTCATTACAGTGAAGTATGCCTCAACTGCCTGTTCTAGCATGTTACAGTTGTCGAGGCATTCGGCGTATTTTAGCCAAACGGCGGCGAGATTGAAGCTTTTGCTTTTGACTAGAGGGACCAACAGTTTTAGAGCCTCAAGGGAAAGATTGGCTGTCATTAAATCTTCAGCTACGTCTAAATATAAATCGCCGATGTTTTCGACGTTTTCTTCACGGATCATAGAGTCTATGAGAGGTGGTAATAAATTAAAAGATTTCAGTTTTATCAAACAAGCGATAAATTTGACTTTTAAGTCAATCTGGATGTTAGGAGGCATGTCATATCTATCAATAGCGATTTGATTGTTTTCGTTGACTGTAATTTCGAAAACGAAATTACAGTGTTGGATGAAGATATCCAAACAGTCTGTATACCGTTCTGTCAACAGAAGCAACTCAAGCATCATATTTACCAAATCTTGGGTGACTTTCTTCGGAATACGCTTAAACGGTATTTGCAGAACATCCAACGATTTAACGTAATTTTTCTCTTCATGATAATGCTGCGCTACCTCTTTACACAACTCAATAATATTTTGATACTGTGCTCTGGGTAGCTTATTCGCCATGTGTTTTTTACAAGCTAGAGCGAATCGCACATCCCCTATTTGCTCCACAAGCTCTAACCTTTTCACATGTAAACTGACATTTCTCGAATTGGCTTTAATAGCTTTCGTATAAAAAGACACGGCTTCTTTATATTTCCCGTTTTGAATATTTAACTCCGCCAACCGACACCACATGCTCGAATTATGGGGGTATAAACAACACGCGATTGCTAAATACCCTTCATATTTGGTGGGGTCACTATTTTCGAATATTTGTGCCAGAGTCATGTAGGGTTCGTAAGCATCAGGGACTTGTCGCATCACCTCGAAGCACATTTTCTGGGCTGTTTCTATGTCGCCGCGGGCGTAACGTAGATTGGCTTCGCCCATTAAACCCTTCAGGTTGGGGTTAAGTTTAGAAATGGGGCGGCGCACTCCTTTTCGAGGTTTTTCAAGCTTTTTTGGTTCGGAGTCTGTAAAAATGTATGTTAGGTTTGTTGTGTAATAAGGAGTGAATGTTATCTACCTGTAACATCTTCAGAATTGGAGTCTTCACTGTGTGATTCTGAATCGGAGTTCGGAGGATATGCGCTGGTGGATGGTTGGTCGTCTTCGAATTGAATAATGAGGTCTTCGAGTTTTGAGGGATCCATTACGAGATCACATACAACCACGGAGGTTTTATTATCAAAGATTTAAGTCGTTTTGTAACATTAAAATTAGTGAGGTTATATTTGTCACTGACGTTCTGAAAACAGTAGGTTCAATGATGGCGGTAATACAACTACGGGATCTGAGGACAAAATACCTAATGAGAACTGTAGTTCACTTCCCCATAATCAGACAGAGTAGTAAAATCAAAAATCCATCAACACCGCAGTTTCTTGCACACAAATATCTGTAATTAATAGAACATAACGTTAATCAAGTGATTAAAAAAGTATATACTGGAATTAGAAATATACAGGTGTTTAGTTTATCTGTTCACGCCTGAATATTTCTGCATAGGCAACCCATTTTACGTTTCATAAACATTTTTTAAACTGAGTTCGACAGGTGTTAGATTTTTTATTTTGGAATAAATTATAGATGTGTGTTTTTTGGAATAGGCAATTAAGTTAAAAACCAAATTATGATTAGAATTCTACCAAAGCTGACATTATTATTTGGTATTTTTAGGTTTGACAATAATAACTTACAAATTTCGTATTACTGTTTTTTTTTTTTTTATTATTATTTTTACCGATTTTTACAATCCAAAATGTGACAAATAATGAGTGACTATTAATAATACTAACAGCTAACTTTGAATTTAAAAAGATCTTTTTTTGAAGATATCCCACTCAACCCAGGAGGATACAGGAGTTTTAATTTCCTGATACCGTCTACCGGATAGTATGATAAAATTATTTACAATAATACACAACTTCTTTAAGAGAAAAACAGCCTTTCAGTCTATATGTATATAGATTTTTTTATGTCGTTATGATGGCACACAAAGAATGTAAAAGTTGTTGCTGTCATTCTTACTTTGAAATAATAGTACCAACATTTGTAATATTTTATTCGTGTATATGGGAAATTCATCATAAATTCAAAATTGATACACAGGGTGTCACTAACTGCGCACTCCTCGATATCCGATTTTTTAGAAGTTGAAAAAAGTCGAAGACTAAATTTGTACAGTTCTTTGGGGACCATATATTAAAATTATTTTCAGCTATACAAAGTGTTATATTTTTAAAGAGTAACATACAACTTCTTTGTAAGTTTTGTAACCATAATTTAATTTTACTTCCTGAGCGTAAACAACGGAAGCATTGTAATCGAGTCCGTCGGCCGACTCTCTGCTTTCTACTTTTACGTTTTCTCGATCTTTTATGACCCATAGAGTACGAAGAAATAGGTCTCCCGTTTCTGCCTGTCTGTCTGTCCGTCTGTTCGTCTGTCTTCCGTCCTGATTTTTATTAAACAGAATCTCAGAAAGTACTGTGCCGATTGGTAAGCATAATAAATTTTTAATCAAAAAATATTTGATTATCTCCTCCAAAAAATTGACGACGTCATCTCAAAATTTTGCCGGATAAATCCTATCTAAAAAGTGCAAAATATGATCTGTCTATACTTGCGATTTATCACTGCATTCATATTTTTTAAATTTGCTTAAACAGGGTGATTCAAAAAAATAATTCATGAATGCGTGAATCTATTTTATTGATTCAATCAGGAACTGCAAAACCGAATTCTTTGAAACCTTGGAGATGTTTTAAAGTTATCATAAGCATGGTAAATTTTTGATCAAAATGTATTTGCTCATTATTCCTAAAAAACTGATGATGTCACCTCAAAATACTGCTGAAATCTGACAGACTAGAGAGATATTTCTTTCATACCAACGTACCTAAACTCTAACTTGTCAAGACCACCAACGATGCAGATTCATCTGAAATGTACTATATTTGTACAGTCGGGGAAAAGAAATCTTGTACGTTATTTTTCCACCATTTTGGAATTTTTGATGTCGTTTATTCATTATTGTCACTTTGACGTTTGAGCTTTAAAACATTTTAAACGTCGCATTCAGGGTCAGCGTCAAAAATGACATAACTAAAAAAAATATAGGTACTTAAAGGTATTTTTTACACTTTGCGTCAGTGTCTGAAAAAAATATCCATATTTGAGCTTTCAAACACAACGTCCTGTATTTTATTATTGCATCTTACTTGATTTTTTATTCTCTTTTTTCCATTATGTCAGTGTGTCTTTAAAAAAGTAAAACAGCTCGATATCTAACAACTTTAAATATCTATACAAAAAATTGGTCTCAAGAGTTTAGACAGTACTTCCCTCGCTGTCGGAAACGTGACGACTGCATGTCTATTATGTTTTATTTTCGCAGTAGATTTCATTTTTTTTTTGAGTCACCCGGTATATGCAAATTCAAAAAATATCAATGGAGTGATAAATCACAAGTACAGACTCATCATATTTTGTACAGTTTAGATAGGATTTATTCGGCAAACTTTCGAGCTGACGTCATCAATTTTTTGGAGGGGATAAGCAAATGTATTTTGACTAAACATTTATTATGCCCTTTATAACCTTAAAATATCTACAAGATTTCAAAGCATTCGGTTTTGTAGTTCCTGATTAACTCAATAAAATAAATTCACGCATTTATTAATTTTTTTGAGTCACCCTTTATATGCAAATCGAAAAAATTTGAATGGAATGATAAATCACAAGAAGAGACTCATCATATTTTGTACATTTTAGATAGGATTTATTCAGCAAAATTTTGTGGTGACGTCATAAATTTTTTAGGGTGTACGACCAAATACATTTTGATCAAAAATTTACCATGCTTATGATAACTTTAAAACATCTTCAAGATTTCAAAGCATTCGGTTTTGTAGTTCCTGAGTAAATCAATAAAATAAATTTACGCATTCATTAATTTTTTTGAGTCACCCTGTATATGCAAATCCAAAAAATATGAATGGAGTGATAGATCACAAGTACAGACTCATCATATTTTGTACATTTTAGATATGATTTATTCGGCAAACTTTTGAGCTGACGTCATCAAGTTTTTGAAGGGTATAACCAAATATATTTTGACTAAAGATTCATGATGCTCTTTATAGCCTTAAAACATCTGCAACATTTCAAAGTATTCGGGTTGGCAGATTCAAAATTAAATTTCAAAATGTTGTTTTATAATTTTGATTTTTTTTTTCCAAAAGTCGGGACGTTTCAGGTGAAAACTCAATTCGGAGTTGTAAATTACATGTGTAGGACTATATTATTTTATACAATTTAAAACCCATTTACTACGTACAATTTTGAAGTGACGTCATCGCATTAGTGGTGGGGATGATTAGACAAATTTTGGTTAGCGTTTTGCCATCTACATGATATTCCTAATATAAGTACAAAATTTCACAACAATCGGTCCAGTACTTTCGGAGATTATCTGTCTAATAAAAATCCGGGACGGCAGACAGACGGACAGACGGACAGACGGACAGACAGACGGAAATGGCAGACCTAGTTCTTCGTCTTCTAGAGGTCATGAAAGATCGAGAAAACGTAAAAGTAGAGAGTCGGCCGATGGACTCGATTACAATACTTCCTTTGCAACCATAAACTTATAACATATTTTATTTTTTTATAAATACTCTGTATATTATAACTCAAGTTATTTATATCACGATAAAGTGCGAATCTCTATTTATTTATCTCTCCACAAAATATTGTAACCCAGATTTTAAAAATAACCCTATTGAGATTTTTTTGTGAGCCCTTATCGAAAAAATTTCAAGAAAATTGGAAGAACTTGCCAACGTCGAATCGAAATTAAAAAAATGGTCGAACGCGTTTCGATAGAACTTCTCTCGCACCTAAAGTACAGTGAAACATATCCAGCATTTTTGAGTACAGAATTTTGTGATGACGTCATCAACATTTTTGCAAGGACACGTATGTCAACTTGGATTGGTGCACTGTAATTCTAAAAATAACAGTATTGTATTCCCACAATTTTCTGGGAAAATGGAGTGAGCTGTTTCTGTTTTAATCCATAAAATAAATTGACACATTTATTAATTTTTTTGAGACACCTGTATAAGCAAATCTAAAAAATATGAATGCAATGATAAATCACAAGTAAAAACTCATTATATTTTGCACACTTCGGGTAGATTTAGAAATTTAACTCATTACTATGGAAATTTGCAGTTTAACACCTTTGTAATTTCACGAGTTTTTACAAGATTAATAGTGACAACAGCAGTTTTATCTTAACAAATACTAGGCCCGCCCACCCGCCCTCTGTTTTCCTAGAGAATATGTCATTTGCCGAAATAAGTCTTATCTTATCAAGTCGTAGCTCTGCCCGCCCGCCCCTATTTTGGCAAATGATATATCCTTTGAGAAAATAGGGGCGGGTGGGCGGGGATAGTACCTGCGCATATAAGACTGATCTTGGCAAATTCCATACCCTCTGAGAAAACTGTTTTGCCCCTATTAAACTTGTAAAAACTTGTTAAATTTAAAAGCTGTTAAATTTCATATTTTTATAGTAACGAGTTAAATTCCTAATTGTGATTGGATATTTATTATATACATTATACATTCTGTATAAGCAAATTTAAAAAATATTAATTATATGTATATTGAACATAAATCACAAGTATAAGCTCATCATATTTTGCATATTTATTAGGGTTACTATACACCTTGCTGTCATTTTGAAAGAGCTGAAAAGCACTATACAAAATATGATATGTATATATGATATATACACCATCATTACATACAAAGATGGCATTCATAGAAATGTTATACTAAGTTTTTTTTTTCAAAATCTATGAAATATAAATTTTTCTGGGGGTTGTGAAAAATTTATAGAACAAATGATCTTCAAAACTATCGAACGGTTTACTTTATTTTTACTTCCCGAGCGTTACCTAATGTAATAGGGCGAAAATAATCATTTGGAGCATTAAATTTTGCAATTTGTCCAAATCATAATGCCAAAATTTTTCAAAAATTTGAAGAGATAGTAACATTGATTAGGACTGACGGAATGTGCAATGTTAATTCATCTACCAGAAAAAGTTTTTGGCGTTTAAAAAAAGCATTAAGTAAATCTGCATCGAAAAATACGTTTTAAGCTGCGGTGGTGTTTTTGTTTTAGTAATAGATATTCTTTCAATTTTAAAAATTCCCTACAGAACACTCTGTCTCAAAAAATAAACAACCGATTTATTGTACGGATTATTTTAAAAACTACATTAGTAACTGTTATGATTTCAACTAATTAACAAAACCAATAAATTTGCTTATTTTGTAAATTTACGCTATAGGATACGTATAGTTTGCGTACTCCTGGTTTCCATATAGTTTTTGAGCTAGGGAATTTGATTTCGAGTAGATTTTTGGTGAATAAATTATTGTGTTTAAAGGCTTTTTGATTCTGCTTAGACTTCTGTCGTCTGTTTTATGGATTGATTCTTTATTTATAGAAATTTACAGCGTTCCAGGGGTGTTTTTGTCAATATTTATTGAAATTCTTAATAAAAAAGAAATCAACTAACACCACAGTGTCTTCAAAAATACAACTGGCAACCTTGCCAATGCCAGCTTTATTAGTGATTTATTCTAAAAAAAAAAAAAAAAACGTAAGCGTGGTTTTAATCAACCATTTTAGTATAATGCAGGTAGTGAATAAGAAACAATTAGTGATCAGTCAGTGTAAACTATTTCTAACACAACCTGCTTCACACGATGACATTTTAATAAGAACGTTGTCAGAAATTTCAGACCCCAGTGTACCAAAAAATCGTTTCTACCCTGGCTACAATGTTGAGGCAAATTTAATATTTATTCTGATTTAATCGATATTATAATTCACCGATGCGCTACTTTACATAAAGTTGCATTAAGCCGCTAACCACAGATGGTGTAAATTTTCATTAATTCTTAATAGTAGACACATATTCTTCACATTTATGCTTGATGTGTAACAGCATGCAAGCTCAGCACGTTCATACTTAATACGTTAAGTTAAGACCTGTATGCCACTTATTACTTCCTGAAGATAAAACACTAATAAATATAAGTAAGCCAAATATATAGCGTGTCGCATTCAGCTACTGGTAATTAATAACAAAAATAAAAGATAATTTTAGTTGTTTACAGTTTCTATAAATATTTCTTTTATTTCGGAGTAATTTATAATACATATATTAAATTAAATTCGTAGTCGGCACGTTTTCGATGAAAACGCTTTCATTAATTAGTTTTATATTGTTACTACATTATTAGATTGACCATTGTCGTATTACATTTTGTAAACGTGCTAATAATTACTTGTACGTAAAATTAATTAAATTTTAACAAAAGGTGCTCGTTCACATATCCCAATAGAACACTTTTGGAACCTAGGTATGCAAATTTGAAACAATGACAATATTCGTAACAAATAGGCTTTTTAAATCATTCAGCTCGCTTAGATTAAAATTTTGATGTTTTTAAATTTTATGGTAATTTTGTATCATTAAGTTATATGAAAATGTTTTTATTCACAATCGGTCGATAATATACAGCTTTCCAACTTCTAAAACGTGTCCACTTTTCAACCTATAAATTCCAGCCAACTTGATTTTAATTGGGATTTAATTATCATAGGCGTATTACGTTTTAAATTGGGCCATTTTTGTTTTATTTTCAAGCTACTTAAAACGATTGTGAATAAAATAGTATACAAACCTCGTGGAAAGTTTCCACCTCGGTATGTTATTGACTATAGAATGCGGGGTTTTTTCGTCTGTATAAATGGTGGAGGCGCCGGGTCTGCTGAACAGTTTACACACGCCACAACTCATCAGCCTAGCAATATTCCCAAATTAATTAACTAAATTCATTTGCCTTATTAATAAACCAGACTCTCTAATTATTTTTCAGATAGAGCGTCAATTAATATTCCGCTATATTATCACGCAATATAAATAACTGTGCACCAAATCAATAAACTCTTTTACTCTGAATTAACTTCCACATAATGATGATGATTTTTGGACAGATAATAATCGCCAATATCTAACTTTTCTAAATCCAATACTTTTATTATTCCATATTTCTTCATGACCATAAATCCATAAAATCGCGATAAAATCAAATCTCTTTCATCAGCCTGACCCAATCGAGGCCGCGTTTGTTTGTATTTCCACACAATGTTTCGAGAATTATGGCCTTCATAAACAAATTTTGTTTTATGTGTTCGGTGCGGCTAGGTGCCATAGTAACAGGAATTCTCACTCTGGTAATTAAAACCAAAATAATTAACGAAAAATAATTGTTTAAAATAGGTGCAAGGAATCGCTCTTCTCGGCGTAATGCTCTCAAGCTTGAATTCAATGTCAACAGTCACTGATAACATCAATGAATGTGTGGAAAGTCTGCGTCTGGAAGGCCAGTTTTATAGAGATGTGGCTAAAGATCCAAAATTGGTGATAACTGTGTCATCGACGTTTTTTTCTTGTTTGATATGTTCAAGTTTATTGTTGCTGTGGGGGTGTTTCCAGGTAGGAGTATTTTTTGTTGACAGAGAAAATGTTATTGTTTTTCTTTTTTTTAGATGAAGACCATCTGCATGTATCCTTTTACATTTTTTTATGTGTTGTATATTTTCGGTCTCTTTGTTACTTTGCTCTTGTTGATTTTTCTAGCGAAAGTCAGAGGACATGGTCTCGGAGATTTAATTCTGTATTCGAATCTCGGAGGGTTCGTTTTGTGTAAGAAAGTTTGTTTGTGGTTTATTATTCTCAATAAGTTTATTTTAGTGTTTTATTTGTACACTTGGGCTTGTGTCGTGAGCTTGATTCAAATAATTAACGAACTGCGGCAGCGCCTACAACAAAAGCTTAAAGTAGTCGAAAAGATGAAACTGTCCAATAGAGTGAGAGTTTACAATAAAAACAACACGAAAGGTTTTCCAAGTTATGCTCATTTTAATTAATTATTTATTTATTAACAACACAGTAATGAGGACTACTCAGATGAGTCAGATGCAATGATGATTAAAATGTAGACCGTTTGTATTTATTTCAAAACAAATATATAAAGCAATTAATCACTTATATGTACTTATTCGATTCCACTAATTTTCTATATTGATATGGCGTGTAAGCGTCAATACTTATTGGCATTTTTTCTTGTCCGTCTTTCACTCCTCCGTCGCTGTCGTTTCTATTTTCAGCGGAATCAAAAGAAAAATATCTGAAAATGGCAACCATTTCTAACACATTAACTAAAATGAAAGACTCCTTACGGGTGAAGTTTTTCCTCCTGCGGAACTCTCAGATATTTGATGAATTTATCATATGTGAAAGAACGACAGCGAGACCTAAAAAGATTCAATTAATTTAATACTTGAATCGAACTTTACTTACCTTGAACAGTCACTTCGAGCCGCTCTTCCGAAAGCTCCGCCTGGAATTAAACCATTAAGAGGACCACGACGTTGTTTATCCGTCTTCGTTTCGTATTTGCTGTTGAAAATGTAGAGTTCAGAGAAGTGGGTGAATTTAATTGTTAATTACCTTGGCGATAAACGCTTTGCCACTCCATATCCACCTCCGAGCTGCAACACTCCAAAAGTTCTAGCGGGTTTTCGCCCCATTATTGCTCCGACCTGTGGATAAGCTAACAACAAACGCTCCGTCAAAATTTATACACAAAAGCAACAACATCTAAAAAAATACGAAACCTCTAAGTAACTAGTGTTTATTCTCTTACAAAATATTACAATTTCGAACACAATTTATAAAATTAAATCAACCGTTTTTTTTCTTGCCCAAACCTCTTCCCACTAAGCCACCATCAATATCATCGAGGCCGCGCCCTACTAAGTTACCACCGCCAATCCCATCCAAACTCCGCCCGACCAAGGTACCCCCTCCAATACCGTCTAAACCTCGACGAACCAGACCACCGTCAATGCCGTCCAGTCCCCGCCCCACCAAATTGCCCCCGCCGATTCCGTCAAGGCTCCTCCCAACCAAATTCCCCCCGCCAATTCCGTCCAAGCTTCTGCCGACCAAGTTTCCGTCGATTCCGTCTAAACCCCTCCCAATTAGGTTGCTCCCGCCGATACCGTCTAGGTTTCGCCCCATCAAACCCCCGTCAATCCCGTCCATAGTTCTTCTGAACAAACCACCGTCGATATCGTCCAAGCCCCGTCCAATCAATCCCCCGTCGATTCCGTCGGGGCTCCGCCTGAACAAATCACCGTCGATGTCGTCTATGCCCCGCCCGATCAGGTTGCTCCCGCCGATTCCGTCTAGGTTGCGACCAATCAAACCACCATCGATTCCGTCCGGGCTCCGCCTGAACAAATCGCCGTCGATATCGTCTATGCCCCGCCCGATCAGGTTGCTTCCGCCGATGCCGTCTAGGTTGCGACCGATTAAGCCGCCGTCGATTCCGTCCGGGCTCCTCCTGAATAAATCGCCGTCGATATCGTCTATGCCCCGCCCGATCAGGTTGCTCCCGCCGATGCCGTCTAGGTTGCGGCCGATTAAGCCGCCGTCGATTCCGTCCGGGCTCCTCCTGAATAAATCGCCGTCGATATCGTCTATTCCCCGCCCGATCAGGTTGCTCCCGCCGATGCCGTCGAGGTTGCGGCCGATTAATCCGCCGTCGATGTCATCGTTGCTCCGCCTTCCAAAGTGTGGCACCGCCCACTTTCCTGCAATACGATCCAGGCCTCTCTTAATTCCTAAAATGGTTTTATTTGGGACGTTGTCGATTGGAAACAAGGCATTTTATTTACAGCTGCTGGCAGAGAGGGAAAACACTCGACGGTCACTTTCCTTTAGTAAATTCGGTGTTATTGCACGAACACACCTGAGAACGGACGGAAGAATACGAAACCGAACACAAAAATTGCAAAAGTTAAGCGAAAGTGTGCGGAGAATCGATAATAAAAGCAATATTAAAGGGGGAACTTACGGTAGTGGCCGGTCTCGTAGTCGCTCTGGAAAAGAACAAAAGAATTTTCATTAAAATTACCAACTTCTGCCAAGTTTGGACAATTTAAAAGGCCCTGGAGGGCCACTTTGTCTTTTTTTTCGGGGTAATTGCATTAAAAAATGTCATTATTACGGACCGAATTAGCGGTTTACTTTACACTTCAAAAAGACTGCTCACCAAAAGGTAAATGCGGTGTTATTTTAGCGCTGTTACGCGATATCACCGATCCAATTAAAGCGGGTTCAATGGAGCCGGACTCGATTAAATGAGATTGAACAAACAGGAATGGCTGATTACAGGGATTTGTACTTTATTTTTACTATTTCAAAATTTTTTAAAAGGGGACTTATTTTCGGACTTACCAGTTTTGGGGCTGCATCGATGACCACCAGAGTCACTAAGAGGGCGAATAAGGGAGTAGTGCACCACATGTTGTCACTGTTGTGGTTGATCACTGCACTGTGGCAGTTGCAGAACTCTGGAAGAATTTATATCCAGAAGCTTTACGATGCGAGGATGAAAAGAGGGGAGCCATCACGCAAACAGGTGCTCGTAGGAGGAGATGAAAGGGCTTTTACGCACACACTCGAGCCCAGCGATAAGAATAATGTTGGTTTTTATTTAATTAATACAATTTTTATTTATTTTTTAATAACTGTAGGTTTTCTTTTAAAGCTAATGTGATTAAATGCTTCGACTATTTCTGTTGAATGCTTAAATGAAGACTAGCTTAATAACCGCTGATTCAAAACGATTATCAATATGTTTTAGGTCTGAACAGGGCAAGCGTCAAATTTGATTGCTAAGTTTTAATTTAATGTTAAATGTACAGGGTGTTCTATCGCAATTAAGCGATCAAATAACTAAAAATTTTACGTTATCTCCACATTTCAGAGTTTGTGTAGTAAGAAAATCTGTTTTCTGTTTTTGTATGCCAAATCACTGTGTAAGTTTGGGTGTACTTTTAGAATGTTGTCCACATTTTTTTCTAATCAGTGCAAAAGCTTTTGTCAAGAAAAAAAAATACAATAAAACAAATCCAGCTTTTTCGAAAAATTATAACATGATTTTTATGAGAACCCTTATAAGTTTAAATAAAGATATGTGTGTAACGTTAAAATAAATCATAAGTAAAAGTTTATCATATTTTGCACATTTTGGATTGAATATATTTGGCAAAATTTTGAGATGACGTCCAATTTTTTGGGAAGGGATAAACGAAAAAATTTTGTTTCACGATTCACCATGATTAGGATAACCTTAAAAGTTTTACAAGATTTCAGCGCAATCAATTTAGCAGTTTCAAATTTATCTGCAACATACTGTAATTCAGTTTTGAATTTTTTTCCAAAAATTCTAGATGTCTAAGGTGAAAATTCGACACAGATTCACACCCCACAAGTTCAGGAGTATCTTATTTTATGAAATTCCGAAAAATTTTTTATTATAAATTTTCGAGATGACGTCATCACATTGGTGGTGGGGATGATTAGTCAAATTTTAGTTAGCGTTTAACCATTTACGTGGCATTCCTAATACATATGCAAAATGTGACAACAGTCGGTCCAGTAGTTTCGGAGATCACTTGTCTTATTAGACAAGTGATCTCTCATTTTAATTAAAATGGATACAGACACTAGACAGACAGACAGACTGACAGACAGACAGACAGACACGTCATGACACGTCGAGAAAATGTGAAAGTGTCAATTCGGCCGATAGATTCCGCATTACTATACTTCCTTAGCTTACGCTCGGGAAGTAAAAATACATATTTTAGATGGTTATGAAAAAATTTATTAATAACAGAAAGACGTTTTCCGAGACTGGACTGTGTTAATTTTGGAAAATTTTTGACGTTTCCCCGTTTTCATAAGGGACATCTTCAAAAAATAAAGAACGAGAGGAATGAAAATTTATACAGAGAAGAAAAATATACTAGAGGTAAATCTTTCCCTCAGAGACCTTTCCAAAATGGCTAGGATCGAAACACGGGATCTGCTATTAATGTTGACAAGTGAAAGTCTTCGATTTCATATTTTCTTGGCAGGAAAAAATCGGTCTCCGGTTTCCGTTTGTCTCTCTGCCGTCTGTCTGTGTTAATTTTTATTAGACCGATTGTTGTCAAATTTTATATGTATGTTAGGAATATTGTGTAGATGGTGAAACCTTAACCAAAATTTGTTTAATCATTTCGACCAAAGCTTTGATGACGTCACTCTAAATTTTGCAAAATATTCAGGGATATAGGTCCTGACGTAATGATTCTAAGAATATAGCTTGTTTATGGTCACGGAGCACTATCCTGAAAATATTCGTTATAAAATTCGAAATTTCTGATATTTCTAAAAATTTCGACATTTCATTGGGCGATTTTGGAAAAACAGTTTTTAAATTACGAAAGTGGGCCGAAATTTGCATACGTTAGTGAAAAATTTGATTTTTGAAAAAGTTTTTCAAAATTTTCAAAAAATTCAGGGATGTAGATTTCGACGTAATGTAACCTGACCTGTCTTAACTTTCCTATTGTCCCAAATAAAAAAAATAAATAAAATTTCTGTAAATACTTTCATAAAAACCAAAAGTAATTTTTTATTTACGTACAAAATTTTTATACTGAACTATTTTGACGAAACTGTAAAAACTGCTACATTTCAATTTAAGATGTATGGCTTTTTATACAGAAACTGCAGTGATTTTTGTAACATAGAAACTTTAATTAATTTATACTATGTTTTAGTCAGGTCAGGTCTTGAATATGGGGCAATTATATGGTATCCGCAATACGACATATATATAAAAAACATAGAATCAGTACAACGTAAATTCCTAAAATTTTTATGTTTTCGCTTAGATGGAGTTTACCCTGAACGAGGTTATGACCACTCTCAATTATTAAATCGGTTCAACTTCATTAGTTTACAAATTCGACGTAACCTCTTAATAGTGAAGTTTCTGTATAACCTAGTCAACAATAAAACTGATTGTCCGTTTTTGTTAAATAAGCTTAATTTTATTGTTCCCCGTCTTAATTCAAGACAAAATTTAACGTTTTATACTTTTTCTTTCAAAACCAATATTTTACGTAGGTCTCCAATTGTATTAATGTCAGAATCGTTTAACAAAATTTCATTGTTCTGCGACATTAATGCAGATTCATTTAATGGGATAAAACAGTCATTGTTACGAGTTTAGGTTCATACATGTTTATTTTTCATTTTTAACTTTTATCAAGTAGTAATTTGGTTATAATATTAGGATCCTATATATAGTTTGTTTAATTTATTTTTTTGTAAGCATATCTGCCACACTTTATTACACAAAGTTAAGTTAATTTTTCCTGTAATTGGGTGATGTATTACCTGTTGGAAATAAATTTATTTATTAACGATTTTGGAAAAACGATAGGAATTTTCGAAGAAACGAAACCGAAAATGACTATCGAAGTCTATAAGAAAATGTCTTCAACTAATTTTCGGAACTAATTAAAAAATGGTCGAAAATGTAAAAATTGCCAAAATCAGTCCTATCTGATCAAATACTAGCCCCGCCCACCCACCCTCTATTTTCTATTAGGGTATATCATTTGCCAAAATCAGTCTTATCTTAGCAAATAGTAACCGCGCCCACCCGCCCTCTATTTTCTTGGAAGGAAAATAATTTGCAAAATCAGTCTTATCTTAGCAAGTACTAGTACTAGCTCCGCCCATTCCTCTCTTCTCATTCTAATGACTAATTTTATTTCTGTTCAGTATAAGATCATTCATTTCATTCAGATCGGATAAAATCAATCACCAAAAGAAGACAGGGTGGATGGGCGGGGCTAGTACTTGCTAAATTAAGACTGATTTTGGAAAATGACATACCTTCCAAGAAAATAGAGAGTGGGTGGGTGGGGCTAGTATTTGACTGATTTTGGTACTTTTGACATTTTCGACCATTTTTCAACTATTTTCGAAAACTAGTTGAAGGCATTTTCGACCTGGTTTTTTCGGAAATTGCTACCGCGTTTTCAATATCGCTAATTGAAATACAGCAATGTTTACAGTTTCGTCAAAATAACGCCCAATAAAAATTTTGTAGATAAAAAATCAATTATTAATCATTTTCGTTTCACAAAATACTGTTACGTTGTACGGGCGAATAAAATAGGCGTGGGTAAAACTCAACAATTTATTTCTTCATAACTCGAAATTACACGACTAATTACAGAGCAATTATTATGTACAAAATAATTCCGGCGCAACTTTACTGGGCTCTCTCGACACTCGTTAGACTCGACTTGTTAACTGAATTCAGCTCTCCTTTTCTGGACTACACTAACTGCTTCCCATTTAAACACCCGCTTGGTCCTTCTCGAAGGTCTCTGTCACCGCTTCTAGGGTTATTCTCGAACACCCGTCGCGACATCCGCTTCCAGGCTCTTCTCCGGCCGCTGTCACGGACAATGAGTCATCGTCGCCGTATATACTAGAAGCCATAATTGTTTCAAGAATGTACTTCGTAGTTTTTATGAAATTACAGAAATATTTAAAATTTCTTTATTTGTCACAATAGAGAAGTCAGGACAGGTCTGATCACATTAAGTCAAATCAGGTTAGATGCATGAAATAAGAAATAAATTTTATAATAATAAATAAAGTTACGATTCGCATTTTTTTTACTTTTTTCACATACTAGATTCTGTTATGGACTTATTAGAAGACCACACTTAGCTCCGCCCACCCACCCTGTCTCCTTTTCAGTGATTGATTTTATACAATCTGATTGAAATGTATGATCTTATACTGATCAGAAATAAAATTAGTGGTTAGAATGAGAAGAGGGGGGTGGGCGGGGTTTTTACTTGCTACGATGAGACTGATTTTGGCAAATGACATACCTTCCAAGAAAACAGATGGTGGGTGGGTGGGGCTAGTACTTGTTAAGATAAAAGTGATTTTGGCACTTTTGTCATTTTCGACTATTTTTCAACTACGAGTATATCCGAAAATTACTTGAAGACATTTTCTTGTAGATTTAGATATCCATAAGTTATTTTCGGCTTCCTTTTTTACACTGCCGAGTGACTATTAATGTTTGTGATTTTTTTGTTTGGTTTGCAACATATTTAAAATTTTATGATGGCGTACCTACTTGTCAAAACTGACAATTGTGAATTGACATTGTAACATTGTTGCCAAGAATGCAAAACTGCCAACCCAAAAAGTTACTTCAACGTTTAAAAGCAAGAACTGTACAAAGTTTTGTAACTATTCAGCAATTTTCAATGTGCATTAAAAAAAGATATACAAACATAAATGAAAATCAAGAAATATGAACACAGCTGCTTGTCAAATTTTCTGCCCAACTACTTCAAAATTTGGTATTTGTGACAGTTGAATTAAGCAATAAGTGAGATTACCGCACTTGCTGTACCTACTAATTTTCTAAACAAAATAAAAATCTGTTTGCCCTCTCGGAACATAAGATACAG